GTCTCAAAATTCAGATCTCAAGAATCCAGTTTATGGGGAAGAACTCACAATGAAAGAAAACAAACAAACAAACAAAACAACAACAACAACAACAAAAATTACAATACATTTCATAGGGTATTCAAGATGTACATCAAAAAGTCACCAAACTATAATTGAAGCTAAAATATCTTGACTGCAGTGTAATTGTTTCTCACATGTTTATGGGTTGCAATATTTCTCAAATGACTCCAAAGATTACACATTTTACAAATCCCTAAAAACAATTTCCCAGGAAGTGATGTCTTCACAAGATATTTTATAATTGCACAACGTAGTTGTGTTTACATTAACTGTGATGGAAAAAGACAAGAGATAATAAACCGAAAAGGTAAAATACCCAAAGTATTTGAAGTTAAGGTAGCTGCTGGATTTCCTTAAGGTAAATCATGTTTGCTTAACTAACAAAACCATTAAGAATAAGTTTTCAGGTTGATTTAAAAAACAGCATTTTCAAAGTTACAAATAGATAATTGATATGTTTTATCTGCAAGGCTGTGTTTTTACTGCACTAAAACTAACAATAAAAGCAAACTTGCTATAGTGAAACAAAGATGGAGAGAAATTTATAATGAAATTCAATGTATCAGAGAGCAGCATGGAGGTTGTGAAGAAACTCTCCTTCCACACCGATTTTTCTTTGTTCAGACTAGAGCAATTTAGTAGATATCTTGAATCTCTGAGCTCCATTGTTATCTGTAACATCACAGATTTCAACAAATTTTGTCTTTGAGCCAGGCACATTCCAGTGTTGTTCGAAGCATGCTATGGAAATGTGTTTATTTTAAAGCTAAGTGGATTTGTTGCCACATTTGGTATGGAAGCCCAAAAAAAGCTTTACCCAAAGACATAATCAATCAATTGCTGGTAACGGATCAGTCTGAATTGCTATGAACAAACCTGAGTCCCGATGTAAGAGAAGCTTAAAATGATCAGTTGTAATATTCGAGATGAAACCTCTTGGGTCTGAACATGTTTACGCACAAATTTACAACTCAGGTGAAGGAGAAAACAAGTTATATGTTAACAAAGCTCAGGTATTTTTCACAATTGGGTGGAATTTCACATTTTCATCTTAGTCTAAGTCAAATATGACTGTAATTATTTTGCTGTCAAATCTCTTATGTAGAAGAAAGATTTAGATATGAGATCTCCTTAAATCTGAATAGAGTGAGCTATTTAAACAGTCATATAAAATGAAACTGTTTCTTGCCAACCAATGTGTAATATTAAACCAGACAATCAGTCAAGCTAAATAGATTTAATCATTACAACTTAGATCATTTTATTTACTTCAAATACAATAAAAATTGACAATGTTCCAAACAGAGCTTTCTAGAATGAAAATAATAAGGTTAATCAAAATTAAAAAATACATTGACAGCATAGAGAACTCTTGATTAGATTGATTAGATTAGGTTTAAACCAACAATGAAAACACAACCAGAACCAAACAGTTCTGGTTGCTTTGGAATCCTTATGAGCAACCCATACTTTACGTATTATGGTATGTTTAGTGGCTCATCTATAAATACACAGAAATTGGTTTAAATCTGCAATATTCAGGAAGACCTCCGAGGCTTTCATTAGCTTTGTGCATTCATTATAACACGGCAAATTAATTCTTAATGTAATTGATCAAAACATTTTTTTATCAAGTCCATTAACTTTCACCCTGAGGCCAGACAAAACACGAGCAATAAACACATGCTGTTTTTAAATGCCACCGCCACCGGAAATTAAAGATAGTACAATTAATCAAAAATGTCTGTGAATGAAGCAAACCTAAAAGCATGAGCCAATATGGTTAAACGTCTCCTATTTCAATTAAATGTGCAGGCAGAAATCCTCACGTTTGTATCAGAGTGAGCCTATAAAAAGAAATCCAAACATTTGCTTTAAGGTGCAACTGCTTTGAAACACTATTACAGCTAAGTTCAAATGCTTCCGTCATTTTCTTCTTTTTTTCGCTACTTTCTATCCATTTGTTTCAGGTAGTACTATTTATTTATAAATTAATATTTTCCTGTATAATTGCATCATTTTCTGCCGCCTCCTACCTGTGGCTCTTTCATGCCCCCTCCCTTGTGTCTGTCATGTTTTTTTCCAAAAACATCTTCAGTGAAAGTTTCCTGGCCCTATGTGTGACACATCTGCATTGCAGCACTGACTGTATAAAGCAGCAGCTGGAGGACAAGAGATGGAGACGCATGAGTGGCTTGAGATGGAGGATTGGAGAGACTTATCAGTCATTTGCCCAAATAACAGAAGTCTGAGTGACAGCAAAAACGCCAATTTATGCATTGTTTGTTTGCCAGTGTTCTTGCTTTTGACATGAAAAACATGCCAATTTAAACGTTAACAGACTAACACAAACATAACCATTTGCACCTCAAAGTGCTGTCACAGGGAAATCAAAGAGAGGGTCATCCACCCCCTCTTTCCCGCGAGCCTCTGAGCTCTGCCGTTATTAATGGCGTCATCATTTTTCCTCCGCTCACTCTATTTCCTTTTTGATAGTGGGGCCTGCTTCATCGTGTTCTGTCATGTTTCTGTAATTGCTCCAACAGCTTGCCTTATGCTGAGTATAAAGTTTGTGTGAGAGCGCGTGCATGCGTGAGCGTGCATGTGAGCTTGTGCATATGCGTGTGTGTGTGTGGATGTTCCACAGTCCCCCACCCCACAAGGGCCGGCTGTGAGTTTGTGGGGCAGAACCGAGCTGCAGGCGAGCTCCACACAGAGTGAAATGACAGCCTCCAGGCCACCATTGGTTGATGACCGTGAAAACACTTGCAGTTAACGTAAAGTGAGAGACCGGCTGTCACAGTGAGACACTGTGGTTACGTGCAGCACAACAAGCTGCTACAACTCGACTCTGCAGCGATGCTACAAATAGTTTGAAGCCTAATAATTTACAACATCATCCATTTCAGACGCCCGAAATACAAAGTCAGGAGGCATGGGAAAAAAAAAAGCCATTCGTATTTGTCAAATCTTTTCCGAACAAATGGTTTTCTTTACTTAAATCCTAGAGGGGTAAAAGGAAAAAGCCGAAGGTGGTTGATGAACGACGACAGTGGAGTCAGCTTGCTGGAGAGAATTCCAAGATTGTCACAAATGCCAACCAAGGTCAGATAAAGTGAAGAGTAAGTGCTTAGAGAGCTACGGGGGCAGAGGCCAGAAATGTGAAGGAGGTGTAAAAACTTGGGTGACCAAGCATGAGCACCATCTCAACCCATCATTAAATGAAGGCACTTAAAGGAAAAAGGCTCCTCTTACAAAGGTCGATACGCTGCACTTTCACATGTTTCGGCTTCAAAGAGTTTCACAATTATTTCATCGAAACGGAAGAAAACATATTTTCTGCAGCAGAAACCACCATGTGATTCATCCCATTCCCACAAGAAAACAGTTTCCTAAGCCTAATCCGTGAAATAATACCCAAACGTCATGTAATAGGAAAAAAAAGCAATAATTAGAGGGCATCATTTTTAACCTCCCTCTGTTTAAATTAGATTTCTTTTGCCCGTTGTCTTTTTCCACGGCTTTCATGCCTTCTTTCTGTCATTTTGAACATACACATATGTGTGCACACATAAACACAGTTTATTATGCAGTAACATTACCAGATCCCCTTAGGCAGCTGTGCATCTCTGTATGACTGATGAGGGTAATTTCTCCCAAACAACAGAATGATCACTTTAGTGGTGAGTGCGACAGACACCCCCTCCTCCTCTTGTCTTCTTTCTCCCTCTTTCCTTTTAGCTTACAAAAAGGCAAGAAAAAGACAGACATTTGTTACCCTGTCTCATGCAGAGCCTGGAATGCTTTCAGAGATGAATAGCACCGCTGTCTTACATAAATGAATTTACCAACAACAAAAAAACAGTAAATCATTCAAACAGATCTAACAAATCTACACATCTTCTGGTTAAATTCAGGCTCCGCTAATAAAAGAGGTTTCCACTTTAGCTGTGGGACTTGGGGGGTTTCCTTATTTTTTCCTTGATTACCATAGAGATCCAATATAATACACATGCCAGTGTGAATTAGGCTCATATCATGGACCGAGAAAGTCACAGTGAGTTTATACTGTGCGTACACCAGGGGATGTACAGAGCAGAGAGTAGTTAGGACTTGTCTGTTTCTCTCTCTCAGCCTTATAGGTTCAGCCTCAGTGGGCTGTCTTTACTCATTCTTTTATCTGTCAGTCACACACAAAAACAAATCCACCTGTCGACCGGGAGACTGGGCTGAACAGGGCAGCGGCACAGCTGTCGAGGCTCGGCTCGGAACAGTAGGGTGCGAGCCAGCGCCCTCCACTGGTGGCAGAAAGTCCATTAGGACACTTATTACTTCACCTGTCAGCGCTATCTTTTCACTTGCCAGCCTAATGATAACGGTTACGATTACAGCACCTTGAGCATGGCAGTCATGCTTCCTTGCTTTTTGTGGTCCTTGTGTCCTTGATCACAAGGGCTCCCCCCAGCTTGTGACAATATAACAATCCATGCGTTAAGAGACAGACATTTTTACCGCGCCACTTGATTGCCCCAACAATGAAGCTATTAATGTTGCATTATGTAAATTGAAATGGCCACAAACATCTAACAGGATAACGCCTAAGTACAGTGCAATTTAATGCTGCTGACTTTCAGCAGCCCTTTGAAGGATGTTTTCAATTATAACACAGCTAATTTAATTCATTGTTTCACAGCTGAAAATGCATTTTTAAAGCTTGACTGACTCTCTATTTCAGAACTCAGGTTTAATCAGTCATGTACATTAAACACTGGAACGTCCTCTAAAGAGATTGACAAAGTTGCCGGGGATCTGCATTCCAGGTTTTAAAGGGACGCAGTAGCCCTTCCCTTTTCTTTTCCCTCAGATGGCAGGCTTCAGTTGTGGAGGGGAGGGTGTTCGTCTAAAAGATGAAAAGACCTGCGCCTTTAAGAGGGCTGTCTCCCCTTCCCCTCTTGCTCCCCCTCAGCCACACAGACACTCCTCCTGTGAGCATTTGTGAGGCAGCTCCTGTCCCTTATGTCTCTTTGTAGGGAACAGAGCAGACTTCCCAGAGCATCACTGAAGACAAGATACAACTCTGGGGACTACACCCGAGCTGCACACCCCTGTGCAGCCCTGGTCTCAGCTGCAGCGGATTCCAGAGTGGGCACGTGGAGAGGAAAGACAGACCAACTTGAGCTGGAGGAGCATAATTCAGAAGTCTTGAGGAATAAGTGGAAAAGAAAAATACAAACTATCCCAGAGGTCACTTCTGAAATGAAGAGAAGATGATCAGCAGGGCAGACTCATCAGCGCTGGATTGGACCACGAAAGAAAAAGGTGGAGTCCTGATAAGAGCTTTGAGTTTCTCTTTTAAAAAGTTTTGTTAAAGAAGACTCGAAGAACACTGTAGTATGTGCAGAAATTAAGATACAATTGCTAGTAATACATGTAGCAGAAGGAAAGGCTAATTTTACCTTCCAGTGTTTTTTTTCTTTGTCTTTTCATAGGAATCTGGAACACGTTCCGAAAAGACATTGATGGTTTGAAAATGAGCAGCTCTTTAAAGAACATCTTGAAAGGTCCCAACAGTGTTTTTAATTCATCAGTCAGGCGTTTATCTTATTTCTCCAGCTTTCTCTGAGAGGGGACATTAAAGACTTTGTTGATAGAGCTCTTGGGGAGTGAGTAATATTTCTTATATGAAGTCTTAAAACTTTACAGTTGTTGACTGGAAGGAAACAGAACTGCCAAGTGCATAAGAAAATTATGTTATGGTGTACTCTATGGGGGAGACGCGTGTGTCTGGACTAACAATTCGTTGACGCACAACGGACTGCAGAAATGTTTACGGGATGTGGAGTGTTCAGTGGCCATAACCAGTGCTTGGCTAACAACAATGTCAAACCCCAACCAGGACTGGAGGTAAAGAGACCAAACCAAACTGCCAATGGAGTAAACCAGGGGACGTGCCCCTTTTATCAGGGTCAAACTTACACAAGCGCTGTAATGCAGCCAGCAGTGTTCAACAGTGATTCTAATCCGCTAAAACCTTCAGTGTTGCCAGCTTCTCCAACAGCAGTTAAACTAGGCCAGGAAGGTTTCAAAAAAGTTGGCCGCGTTGAGGAGGACAGCCCCTGTCCCTTTCCAGGTCTGGCTTCTGGGGTGCTGGAGATGCGTGTCAAAGAGGGTAGCAAGATTCGCAACCTAATGGGATTTGCTATGGCTCGGATGCAAGGAGAAAAGACTGGAAGTGCTGCAGGCGGAATAGTTGCCGGGCTCAGGCAGGTCATCTTTACTGGGTCAGGTCGCGCGGTCACAAAGACAATCACCTGTGCTGAGATTATGAAACGAAAAGTGGGCTGCCTGCATCAGATGACCAAGCTAAGGTACAAAGTGGTGAAAGAAGTGTGGGAGAGCAACCAGGGGGCGGCATCCGAGATGACGGTGCACAGGACTGTACCTTCCATCAGCATCCTTCTTTCTAAGGATCCTCTGGATCCACAAGAGCCAGGCTATCAGCCTCCAGAGGCTCTAAGTGCATTGTGGGAGGACAGAGCAGGGACTGAGCCTTCAGCACAAACAACATACAAGAGACCTCTTGGACAATTGCCATGCAGCGGCTTCCCTCACTGTAAGAAGCTGTGCTTGGAGGAAGGAGTCTCAGTCCTTCCTCCTAACTGACTGGCTAAACCCTTGTCACAGTGGAGAGGATTGAATCAGCAAAGTTCATTTGGCACTGCACTCCAGTCTAGCACAATGCTGAGACAATCAGAACATTCACTCAGTTAGAACAGTGCTTTCTTAGAAGAACTGAATCCCAAATTCAAGCCTCAGTAGGTCAGTTTGACTGAGATTGAAAAGCTTGCTTCTGTACAAAGAGCATTCACAGAACAGATTTATGGCCTCCGACATCACAACTGTGATAATGTGTGCTTTTACTGTGTGATGCCGAATGCAGTCATATCCCACAATGACAACATCAAAATGAAGCCATTGATTGCCTAAGTCAACTATGTTTGAGTTGTGGAAAAAACTACTTCTTGGTATGAAAACCTTTTGTTCATAAGTACTCTGAAACTGAGCTTTTCAAATGAATAAATAAATAAATACAATTTTGTAAAAGAAATAAACCGAAAATATTGGTGGTATAACAAATGAGAAAATGTACCATTTTAGTTTGTCTGACTATCAATCTTCCCACAAAAATAAACATTTTCTTTCCAAATTAAGTTTTCTTTTGCATTTTATCTTTTTATTCATACATCACTATGCAAATCTCTAATGGAACAAAAAAAAAAAAAATCACAGTGTGCTGATGTTTTGATAAGAGTACCAGCAGTGAAATTTGTCTGTAAAAGCTGATTTAATGACAAAGCTGTTGATAAGGACCAAACCAACCCAGCCTGACAGAAATGCCAGGGGGAGAAATACAGGCAGAGATTATCATTAAGATAACTACATAACATCACACAACACAGAGGAGAAAAGGATTTAAACTTTACACTGCACTGTTGCTGCAAAATATGAAACCAAGGCAATAAGGTACACTCCTTTTCATTTCGGCCTGCAGGCCTTCCTGTACAGCAGCAGCGCGTCTTTTCTCATCTTTTTTTCTCCTCTCCATCATCTTCTATTTGTCAAGAAAATATCACACAGAAAACTCAAGTGTATACAGAAGAAAATTTTAAAACGGCGACATGCAGCTTCTGAGACGAAAATAAATGGAATAGATGCTGACTTTTCAAGTTGCTTTTTTATGCATCGCTTTTCTGCTTTTATTCTATTTGGATGTTATTGCAGTGGCAACAGCGATATTACAAAAGTTTCAACAGAAAATGCTGATATTTGCAGCAGTGACTGAGAATGGCCTGCAGAGAACAAGCCAAAGCTAAAACGAAATAAAAATAAATGCATTCAATTGTGTTTTGCTGCTTAAACTTCTTGATCATTTTAATTGTCAGTTTACAGCCTTTTTCTACTTTTTTCATAATTTTCCCTTTGCAATATTCTTCAAATGCAGTAGCAATCACGGAAAAAAAAAATTTGTTTGTTGAGGCAATACTATTTCATGTAAATATGTGAAAAAAAAAACAGCTTTGGACCCTCAAATCACATTTATTTTACAAAACAATAAAGAATCTAAAATATATCTAAGTGACCAAAAGTCGTTAACTGTTTTTGGTGGCGAAAAACGTGATCACTTGCCCGCTCAATCCCATTAAATGAATCGGAGCAAAGCAGAACGACCAAGGTTGAAGAAATGCTGCCACTGCAAAACAGCTCACATGATGCAAACTGTGTGTCCTCAAGACTGCCGGAAGGTTATCATTTTAGGTCACCGTTATCACAGAGTTAACAGCTTTCACCCAGGAGCCTATGGGCCAGCCACTCTGAAGTCCGGGTCAAAAAGAAAAAAAAAGATAATCCCTACAAGTAAATTTCAAATCGACCTGCATTTGTTATCATGCATTGAGGATTCAGGGCCAAGTGTGAAATGCAGACGGGTAATTAGGGATAACGGCACAGCGTTACCTGAGTGAGAGAACAGATAAAACATACTGACAAAAACATTATCCCAGAGCTAAATCCAATGTGGCTGCCGCGAAATAGGTTGGTGGAGGAGTCAAATAGGTGCATTATAGGATTGTGGACAAGGTTATTCACAGTGAGTCTGTTTGCCGGTATTGTTTGTTTTCAAAAGATCCATTCAAAGTGTGTATAAGGCAATACAGACATAAATAGAAAAAGAAAATGCAATTCAGTGTGGCCTTAAAGTATTTAAACAGAGAGGAGAAAATACTTTAATCATTCATTTTGATTTTGAAATAAATTGAAAGAAATTAACGGATTATTGGAAACTGAATTTGGACTGAACCAGATTATACAGCTGCCCATGAATCTGACCTGTTCGGATAGATATTCACTTTAATTCAGCAATTTAAATAAACTGAAAAAAATTCTTATGAAATTGTTATTGAAACACAGAAGAAAGGTGGTGTTACCATTATCTTTGTTTACTTTCAAGAGTATAATTCTCTATAATATACACCAAACTGTATGACAGACAGCATTATGAAAAAAAGATAGGTGGACACAGCAGTAACATTTTGTTGACCAAAGTCAGTAAGTAACTGCGTGCCCTGAATGTGAATAAATTTGTTGTGAAGTTAACATAAAGAAAGTGTTGGCACTCCATTTCTTCCCTCTCTGCCTCTGCAGCAGATGAGAGTGAGGTCTTTGGGATGGCGTGGGAGTTCGCTATCTCCCAGCCTCCAGATGGCTCCGTCTTCTCTTATCTAGAAGAATGGGTGCCGCCTCAATTTTTCAACTCGCCTTATCTGGGAATCCTTTAAATTGAATATTTACTGGGCCTGTGTTTTCTGCCGGCGTTAGCCCTCAGAAGTCGACATTCCTTTTGCTTGTTCAGACAGGCCAAAAGGTTTTTCTCGCTCACACACTTCCATTGTCCGTTTTGTCAAGCAATAGGACAGTGATTGATTATGTGATTGCTGGAAGAGAATGGAAGGTTAAGCAGTTAGGCTGAGAGCTGGAGGGGGGCATTGTAACAAATAGCCAGAGAGGGAATATGAGGAACAATGGAGAAATGTACATTACCCAAACATGACATCAGGCACCTTCAGTTTATGTCAGGGGCAAAATAAAATATATTAATCATTTTCTAAGCAGTCTATTGTTTCATGCACAGCATACACAAGAGGATAAGAGAACCCTTAAGCAGCCATTGAAAACATCTTATTGCCATTTGACTGGCTGTGGTCTATCTGCATAAACAAGCTGTGCCACAGCTACTCCCTGGTAAGTGTCTGGAAATGTCTTTTCAAAACCATTTTGCGAAATGTCTCCATGTTGGATTAATCAGTGCAGCTGAGGATGTAATTGCTGTGCTGAAGTGAAAGCTGTAAGAACAGATAATGAACACTAACTCCATGGCTGCCAGAATCCAGGGCAAAAAAAAATAGAAAATGGCAAGTTTGAACATAAGAATGTCTTCAGCATTATTTAAACAGAAACAATATAAAAGTCCACTATATTTACACACTTAAAAAGGGATCAGTAGGTCTAAAAATGCATCTTATTACACCATGCAACAACTTTAAAATAATTCCTTGTGCTTTGAGGCTTTTCCCAAACTTTTAAAATTATCTGATAGTTTGTTTATATATTTAGTAGATGCCTGTTCTGCGATCAAGCCATGGTGCTTTGCTAATTTATATGTACATGAATCTGAAACTCTTGGTACGCTAAGAAAATGAAATGTAGGAGCTGAGTGTTGCTGCCCTCTAGTGAAGAAAGACGCTAAGAGTCAAGACAGCACAATTCAACTACGTGTTCACAGCAAATCTCTGAAAGGATAAACTGCAGCAGGTTTCAGTATAGTGCACATATTTGTCTTTATGTACTGTAGATATAAATAAGACAAAAAAAAGTTTAGAATTTTATTTCACCTATAAAAAGTATTTAAACAATATTTATACATTTCCAGTTCACAACATATTTAAAGTCACTTTACAGAAAAACCCAATTTAAGTCATAATATATAGACTTTTTTGTTTTTACAAAGATTGTAAATTTATAATTACTATATTTTGCTACATTTGCACTCAAATGTTGCAATGGCTAAAACTGACTTTTTATTGGATATGTTGTACTCTTTCACCCTTGTACCTTAGCAGTGTTGAAATAGAAGACTTTACAGGAACCATCGTGTTCTGATTGTGCATTTATGAAGTAATGCCGGAGTTTATTTCTCATCCATCTAACAGATAGTACTTCTCATAGTAACTCATCTAATCTGGCAGTATTTCAAGTCAATTAAAATGTGCATTTTGGTTAAGACGAGTGCAAACACACACACACTGGATGCTACAAGTACTGATATAATATCTCAATATTCAGTTCATTGTTTTCTGTTATCAATTTTTTTCTACCAGTTTGTTAACTGATGCAGAGGAGCCTCGTTTGAATCTGTTTATACAATATTCTCATGATCTCATTAGATAAAAAGTTAATTGTTTGCAATGAGTATCTATAATATGCTCACAATCAGAGGAAACATGTAATCCTTGTTTTTCTTGAATATCAGAAACAGAGTCAACCATAAAGAAAGAGAGACACATACGTATGTTCAATTACTTTCACACAGTGAATAAGTTATCATGTAGTTTGGGCAGAGTCACTATTTATTTTTATTTACTTTTTTTTTTCAAAATATAAATACATAAATAAAATTATCACTCTGAATTTGTGTCCTTTAAAATTGTATTAACCTTCTTGTTAGAAAATGTTTACTTTCAAGAATTTAAAGTTTAATTAACTGGATAAACAATTTAAAAATTGTATATGGAAATGTTAAGGTCTCAAATCACACATCTCGGGCATAGGTAATGGGATGAAGAATGCGTCTGTCATGTTTCTAGTTACAACCCACACCAAGGTCGACAATATTACTAAATGGTCTGGTTAATTTCAATTCAAACAGTCTCTGCTGGGTTTCCACTCCGCACAGCAGGTGGACTGGTCGAGTAATATCAACACAGTTGTGATTACTCCATTGAAGCAGTGGGTTGCTCCACTCAGAGCCGAATCACTCTCCTCATTATAGTTTGCAAGGCCAAATCACAGTGGGTGGACCACTGAGTAAGACTTCACATTTTCTCTCTGAAATAATTGAAATTCATTTTTGGCACTCTGATGTTACCCCATCAACACCAGACTCTTTCACATTTGCACAACTACCCATCATGCACTTGCTTTTCAAGTTCAAGGATGTGTAAAAGCAGAGAAGACGATTTGTAACCTTGACTTTTGTGATCAAACATAGTGGCTAGGATGAGCTATGTTCCTTGCTAGGAATGAAAAATTAGTGTATTTAAAAGAATTAAAGGTTCTTAAAACCGAATACTGTACAGTAATCTAGATATGCTGCACACAAACTATGCTTGATATTCTCTTTTTCAGAGAATTGCCAGAAATACTTTGTATGGTCAAAGTATCCACAAAAAAGAGATGTTTATCTCAAGAGAAATTAAATAAAGGCTAAAATAAAACAATAACATTGCCCTCAAAAATATCCATTTAACTCTTTACATTTTGTCAATAAAATGTCAAATCTTTCTTGCACAGCCTATACAGTATTTTATGGGACATAATGTGACAGTGATACAATGTGGAGCACAAATGTTATGTTTAAACAAAGTGAGCCTTTGGTTTTTAAACATTTTGACAACTAATGTTGAAGACATTTGTCTTCAGCTCCCTTAACTTGGATACCCTTAAATAAAATCCACTGCCACTAAAAACACTTTGTATTGATTTTATTCAACATTCTATTTTTCTGAGAAGCTGAATTTAGTTTTTTTTTTTTTTTTTGCAATTAAGCAATAATGTTCAAAATTTACTGAACTATTTACTGAATTATCAAAAAAAGTCTGTGTATAATGTAAGGTTTCCTCAGACCTATTTCCATTTCTTACATATTTATAACCAGCCTTTTCCTTTAAACATTAATATTTTGACGTCAATGCAAATAATATTCTACGAGTTTCCATTTATTTGTGGTTCTCTGTGTCGATGATTTCCGAAGTCTTTACATGTTGGATGCCATTAGTTTTTGTCATAGAGTCAGGGTTCTTTAGAGTGTACCGCGTATGCAACATAATGTTTCGTAATTTTTTTTTTTTATTATTCATTTTAGCTTATACGTTATGGTAGTTTAACATTTGAGAGTCAAGTTCGGTTTTCTTGATTCTCGCAGCAGATGGCGCTTAAATGTCCTATTATTCAGTGTTAATTCCTTGTTTCTTGAAAATTGGTGAAAGATTTTAGACAGCGAAAATTTTATACTTAATTTTTTTTAACATTACTCCAACTAATGGTGCTTTTTAATAATAGCAAACACACATAGATGTTTCTACCGGGATCAAGTAAAGCCGTACCCTATAGTATTGCACTTTTTCAGATCGCATTTGAACGCACCAGACTAACAGCTGTTTTCTCGTCGGCTGTGTCCTCTTCATTTTCGGAGCTGAGAGGTAGAAAGATCGAACAAAACTGTCAATACCTTCACTGTCGCCGGTCTGGTAAGATACTTTGCGCAGTTTAAATGAACTTTTTCTTATATTTAACTGATTATGTAAATACATTTACTTACTGCTGTCTTATAAAGGAGTTTTTTACTCTTTACGGTTGCCATCGTAATTGCTTTGCGATGAATGTGGTAACCTAAACAAGGATGAGTTTAAGTGTTTTGACTTGTTTGTTTTATAAGATCCATAAATTTACATTTTATAAACTAAAAGGTGGATTCAGCTTTAGGCTATGAGTTATAGATTAGAGTTCATTATTTGATGTTGATGTTTTTAATCTGTTTTTATATATCTTTCATTCTAATGTTGGTTTTCTCTTTTCAGAAATGTCTTATAGGAAAACTTTATTAGGTGCTTCATGCAGCCTTTGTGTGCACTCTCTCAGAGCTCTGCTGGCTTTCTCTCTGTGCTGCTTCATATCTGGATACTCTGAAAAAGACAGAGCACATAATTTGTTATCCAAATATCCTATCATTGATGGGTAATGGATCCATATTGTTTAATCCTATACATAACTGTACAATCTTCGAAATTAAGAATAAAATGCTTAATGTTCCTTTTCTCACTCTTTCTTCTTCTTGCTACAGTCATAATGATCTAGCTCTAAGACTGAGGATCCATTACAACAACCAGCTGAGCAAGATCAATCTGACTCATCTCACCAGAGTGGCCACCGATATCTCCCGCCTCAGAGCAGGCCATGTGCAGACACAGGTACTGTAGAGTCTGACTGAGTAAGCATCATGGCACTGTTTTGGTATGTGCATTTACTGGTCACTTTATAAGTAATTACAAAATAACTTTGAACATGGCAAAAAATTTTTTAGAATGGTCTGAATATTTCAGAAATTGCTCTTTTGCTGTGATTTTCATTGCAAAACCATTTCTCAGATAGCTCTAAGAAAGCCCTAAGAAAGGGCTATCTGAGGAATACTGTACATAAACTGTATGTACAGAAATGCCTTTCTGAAGTTGGGATCAGAGGACAATAAGGAGGCTGGTAGAAAGGTAACAGTGTCTAAAATGACCACTCGGTTGCATGCAGAGTATCTTCTGTTAATGCAGAACCTTGAAGCAGATGGTTTATGGCAGCAGAAGACCACAATGGGTGGTGCTTCTGTCTGCTCAGAACAGGAAATTGAGACCACAGTTTACACTGTCACGGCAGATTTACATAATAACATATTGAGAAAACGTTCCCTGATCTGAGTCACCCTAAAAAATTCTAATACCATGTTGAGAATTTAGTTTAAACAACATAAAAACATAAAGGCATTTGTCTAGTCTTCGTTGTATCAATTGTTCACCCTATTTGAGAGGTTTGTGTTATGGTGAGGAGGACATTTTTCAGCCACATTAGTACCTCTAGTACAAATTAAGCATCAATTAACATTGTGTGAGTATTATTACTAATGATCTTCGTCACTTTATGTTTAGCTTTCCCATCTTCTGAAGTCTAGTCGCAGCAGGATAATGCATTATATCAAATGTTAAAATCATCAGTTGGTTTTTATAACATGACACACTTAGTTAACTGTACTCCAAAGATCTCCACAATCACCAGGTCTCAACCCAATAGAGCGATCTTGTCAGCATAAGCCAATATAACATTATATGTTGTTAATATATGTAATTTATTATTATTATTATTATTATTGTTGTTATTATTATTATTATTATTTATTTGACATTCATCTCTGTTTGTCAGATGTTTGCAGTCTATGTTTTGTGTGGGGCCCAGCACATGGATGCGGTGCGACTGACTTTGGAGCAAATAGATGTAATCAGACGAATATGCACAGAATACCCTGACTTTGAACTGGTCACTTCCACTCAGGGTATGGTACTCATTGTCTTGTTACCAAGCCCAGTGACCAGTACATTGACTGCTACGCTTTCAAATTAATAAGGGAACAGGTGCAACGCCAGCTTTTTTGAATCATGAAAGTGTTTCTGTGTTTGCAGAACTGAGGGATTCCATGACGAAGGGTAAAATTGCTTGTCTGATAAGTATTGAAGGGGGCCACTCCATTGATAGCAGCCTTCCTGCGCTGCGCATGTTTTATCAGCTTGGAGTCCGCTCCATGTCCCTCACTCATTCCTGCAATACTCCCTGGTATTCTAAAGAGCATGCCGTTTCAAAACATCATATTTCCTATACGTAGGATGTAAATCCCATATTAGAAACAAGCTCAATATAAACATATTTGGAATAAAGATTATGCTTAACCTTTTGTTCTGCATCTTCTGACTAATATATATTTACTTTTTGGTGCAGGGCTGAATCTTCTACAAACTATTACAAAGTCTTTGTAAGGTCCAATAATAGCCTGACGACATTTGGAAAGGTAAGGTTAAACTTTGGTGGCAGTAACTATAGAAGTTACTCATCACATCTCATCAAAGCTCACAAACTGTTCATGCATTTTAGGAGGAATGTAATTTGTCAATATAAAATTTAGTTTTTCGAATTTGTGGAAATTTTACTCTGCCTAAAAATAATAAGGAAGAGTGAAAGCAGTCGTAGATGGTTGGTATTTTTATTTTTGGACCTCTGTCTGTAGGACTTCCTTGATAGTTATCAGTACTAGAGTATTTACTTGTGTATACCTCACAATCTGCTGATCTGCTGTTTCTGGTTAATTTAATCTCCTTCCTTTTCCTGATTCGTAAATGTCCACTTAAATGGTTATCAACTTGTTATCCCTTCTTTTTTTAATAGGCTGTGGTGGATGAGATGAACAGACTGGGAATGATAGTGGATCTTTCCCACACATCTTTTGAGACAGCGTCAGCCGTTCTGAACCATTCCAAGGCTCCAGTCATTTTCAGTCATTCGTCCTCCTACATGATCTGTAACAACCCTCGTAATGTACCTGACTGGTTGCTTCAAGAGCTGGTGAGAAAACCTGCTTGCTGAATCATCTGTGGTTTGTTGTTTTCATGCTAATGTAATGGAACATCTGTAAGCACATTTCCAGCTTAGAAATGAAAGCCTGTTAACATTTATGATAATTTTTCTAAAGGATAAAATGTGTGTTTATAAAAAAGGTCCTTACTGACTCTTCATAATAATGTTGGAAAAATAGATGTCAATGTATATCAACCAAAATGATCTACTCCAAGCCAGCATAATCATTAATCTGGATAAATAAATTAAGTTTAATTCTTATACTGTGTAAAAAAAACTTGAGCCTTAATTTGTGGAATAATAAAGAAAAGTTTTGTACGGTTAAGTATTGATCATGTTTAGTAGCTTCTAGAAATTTTTGTTAAAACTTTTTGAAATTTGCCATTTGAAAATTTTGTATTCTTCACAAACTTTAAAAGCATTATGTTTTGTAATAAAGTATTTTTGATACTTTTTTCATAAGTACAACGATAAACTCTGACATACACTAATAGGAGGTTCAATCTTTGATGAAGAACTCTCATCTGAATGTGCCTCCCATGTGCGTTTGGCACTCACCCCCCGCGCCACCTCCACACACGCACACACTTTTACATTTACACACACTTTTACAGGAATCTCATTATTTATTCCAGCATGTACCAACCCTGGTCTTTGGGGCACACAGCTCTGAATCAGCACACATGTTTGAGTTACTAACATGTTTCTCTCAAACTGATGTATTGTTTTTTTAATCTGTGTATTATTCTTATCATTAAATGAAACATTTGAGCATGCATTATGCAAACACAATGAGCCAAAGCAAATTAAACTGTTTTGGCCATTTCTTTCCCTTGTCTTTAAAACTGCATCTGGTAACAGTTTGTTCTGAAAAAAGTGAACTAGGCATGAGTAGTACCTCAAGGTAATCCCACCCTTACTTCTGCTATTACACATCTTGATGTGACATGTTTCTCATCATTTCACATGATTGTGTTTGTTTAAGCACAGCCTGGAGCAACACAGAGACTTCTACTTTTGACCTTATTTCTCTCCACAGGCATAGTTTAATTGTAAATAACCTGACAAACATATCTAACTTAGCTTAGTTGACGATGCGCCTTCATACTATTTGTTTGTGTTTCAGAAAGACAACAGAGGGCTGATCATGGTGAATTTCTACAGCCCTTTTATTTCCTGTCAGAAGAAAGCTACTGTTTCTCATCTGGCTGGTAAACCTTTCTTCTTGAATAGTATTGTATTTGAATGTGGCATTAAATATTTTAATCCCTGAGTCTTAAGTGTATTTTCAACTGTTTCAACAGACCATTTTGATTACATTAAGGGCTTTATTGGAGCTAAGTCAATAGGAATTGGAGGAGACTTTGATGGTGGCACTAGGTGAGACATGTACCTGGATCCATCCATCCATCCATCCATCCATCCATCCATCCATCCATCCATCAATCCATCCATCCATCCATCCATCCATCCATCCATCCATCCAACCATCAATCCATCCATCCATCCATCCATCCATCCATCCATCCATCCATCCATCCATCCATCCATCCATCTGTCCTTCCGTCCTTTTCTCCTTCCATCCACCCTTTTGTTTTAATTTCTGTTGGAAGAATAGTGATCATTTACTCATATGTGTTTCATTTACAGCTTTCCGGTGGGATTAGAAGATGTCTCAAAGTATCCTGTAATAGTCCAGGAGCTCCTGAAGAGGAACTGGACAGAGGAGGACTTGGCTGATGTCCTCAGAAATAATTTCCTGCGAGTGTTTGAGGAAGTTGAGAAGGTAAGCTGTGAAAATAACTCACTTCCTAACTAAGGAATCCCACTATACACTGTGTACACAATTATTAGTCATGTAAGTATTTTGAACATACATTATTAGGGTTATTTTTCTAACTCCAAGCTGGATAAAGTTGAATACATTATGTATTTAATTATAGTAGAGGGATATTCGAGAATGATCACAGACCATTCCAATTTATGACATGACTCCCTCCTCAGCTGATCTGAACCCAGCTGAGAACAGTTCAGTACAGTGAGGGAAAACGGTATGCCTCTCTGAACAGAGTCGGACAGCTGTACTGCTGAATGCTGAGCAGTCATTCCTGTAAAACTAACTGTCCTAATTTTATAGTTTTGTCATCACATACCAAAGTATTGAACTAGTTTTCAAAATCTGCCAGTTCGATGCATTTCTTTATCGTTCTTTCTGGAAATACTCTCCTAAATGAAACAGTTTCTCTTAGGTGAGCAAAACGTCATGTCTCAGCAATCAGTGAAAACACATTATTTGCCCCAGTCAAATACTTTTTAATATTATTTACAAATCTTTTGCATGTTTCTAGTTCTGTTTTTGATGAGTTATCCAATGTGCTCCAAGTCTTTAGGGTTTTCATATTCATTTGTGCACTATTTATTTTCTACTTGTTTTCTACTCTGTCTTTTAGGTTCGCAATGAGCTAAGCTGGAAGAAGCCAAGTGAAGAAGAGATACCTCTAACAGAGGTGGCGAACAAATGTAGATTGGAACTCAAACAACCTATAATTCCCTCCAACCAGAGCCCATCCTTAAAAGCAAAAGGACATAATTTATTATTCCTGGCCTTAGCACTGCTTTTTTACTTCTTTCCTTGACTGACTAAATTTTGTCCTTTTCTTTAGTTCAGCTTTATATTATGTATTTGAAGGATGAGTGCATATGTCCAATCACATGTCTAATGTTCATATGAGTGCAGATGTCCATTATACACTCATATTTCGTAGGTACATATGTACCTATGCTTATAGCATATAGTTACAGTAGTTATTCACATTTTTTTACAATTATCTTTTACTAGGGGTGCACTGATTGATCAGCCTGAATTCCGTAATTTTGGGTGATCGACGATCGACTAATACTTTCGGGTGAAACTGATCGTAACCACCGATGTTATCTACCTCTGTAAAGGTCTGAAAATCAGTCACTGACCTCTTTTGCTCTGCTGTGCAAGAGGGTTGACTGACAGATCCACTCACCAGGTCACATCTGCAGGTATTTGGTTAACAATAGTCAACCAAATACTAATACTAATACAGTCCTCTGTATTGATTTTCTCTTCATAAAAGTAACTTGCGACAAATGTAGTCATTGGAAACTTTGGCAACAGTACCATTTATAAAGAAAAAAAAAGGGAATCTGCAAAAAATGTAAATAGTCACATCAGTCTTTTTTAAGATTGGTGATCTGCCAAAGAATTGCTGTCAGTGCATCCCTACTTCTTACCTGTATTTGTTAAAATTCTGCTATATAGGATACACTTTAGTAACCAATGTATGAATGTATTTATAAGAACATATATTTTGTTGCTGATGTATGCAGTTCAGAATCAGTATAGAAAAAAATAAAAAGTTTAAAATTGAGCTTTCTGACTTAATGAATGTTGTTGACCAGTGGGAAAGTTATCAGGTGAAATCAAAGCAGATCATTTACAGCTTACACAGCTCCTTTAAATATAGGAATTAAACCAAATAATCGGAGTAGTCGCTGTGGCAGGACTTGAATCAACAGATGAAAAGATCCATTGGTAAGATTAATTATAGTGATTATATCTACCTTTATATAACCTCAGCTACATTTTCATAGGTCCGGGTAGCACACATATGCATTCATACATCCATACAATCCCGATTTACCCAAAAGAATACACCAAGCTCTCTCTTTGTGTGCTTTATAAAAAAATATATATATTTTGAGAATTGGAAAAGAAGAAACAAACTGAGACTTCTTTAATACAAATGTTTATTTATCATTGAATTAACAGTTCTGTTGTGCATATAGCAGAAAACAAAAAGATTATTGTTAGAGAAACTCTTTAAATAAGCAAAGTTGTGTTTCTGAGAATAACTGAGTATCCCAAAAGTTATTTTCTAATTTTAGGTTATTTTGTTATCAGTTATGATCATTTTATTACATGTTTTTCTTCATATCACACCTAAGCTTCTTTGAGTATCTCGTTTGTAATGAACTGAAATATTTTGGACTATACTTGCTGTGAAACAGGAACAACATGTTGGTTTGTTGTATATAAAGCAAAACAGAAATTGTAATATAAATACAATGAAAACCTATTACACCAACTCTTGAAAATAATAATCTTTAACTTAAGCCACACTTCTTATCATTAGTTTCCAAATCTGCTAAATAAAAACATTCATAAAACATTGACAGATAGCTTTTTGTGTTTTCTATTCAACAGCAAAAATATAACTGCAAATAGATGAGTCATATTTCTTAAAAACTTGTCTATAGTCAAAATCAGGCGATGTCTCAGAAAGTGTATCTGTAGTGATAGAGGGGAAATATTCAGAAAATAAATAATATAAATACTTCTATTCTTGAAAAGAATAAATAAGAATATTCTTTCAGAAGAAAACACTTTTAAGTTTTTGCTGCTAGCTTTTCTAGCTGTTGTTCTTCTACCTGCACTGACTCCCATCTTAAAGTGAAACAGATATTAAGACTCAAACACAGATTTAGAATTTTATTCTAAGGCTTTCCAAATAATTATAAACCCTCAGTCATGTAAAAAATTACTTTTCTCCATTTTTTATTACGTCATCTAACCATGATTGGGTTGCCTGGAGGCGGCAGTGCCCTTTAAGAAAACAATTTACTGAAAGATCTTCTGCCGATCTAATTTAGTATTCATATTATCCACCTTATTCCTGGCAGTATTGCTGGTATGGATTGTGGGAACAACATCCAATATGATGTTACTGGAAAGCAGATTTGTTTTGGTAGCTGTTCAGATGTAACAAACTACTTTTGAAGGAATTCAGTGCAGTGCAGATACATTTTGGTGTTTTTTAGTGTTTCTATAACCACACTTACGTGAACCTTTAAACCTCCACTAGTTGTCTCATTGCAGAAAGAGCATCCGGTGTGAATTTGGGTGCATGATAAAGTTTTAGGCTCTATAATGTTGCAGCAGCATGACTGTAATATTACCTCAGTCTTACAAACACAGTGTGCCATCTTTATTTCCCCCCGCAGTGACACTGGAACCCAGGCTGATTTCAGGTAACTTAGGATGTGCCTGGCCTTCATCAAGCAAGCAGAATGAACCGTTTTACTGCAAATAATGATTGGCCTCAGAACATTTTTATTATTTTAAAGCTTCTCCAATCGGAACAATAAAGTAACCATATGCTTGTGTATGTGCGTCATTTAAAAGATGAATAGATTGAAGTCATATTACCCCTCTGAAGGTGTAAAATTTATTGATGTGAAAGACTACAGATCGAGATTTTTATAGCATCATGGGGTAGTTTTTGTCTAGTAGACAAATGTTGCTACAACAAGCTCTGACATGAGATCTGGCAACTCTTGTTTCTGTTTGACTTGCAGGCCAAAAAGCAAAATACAGGTTCATGACAAGACGCTGTAGATCAAACAAGAATTTGAGCTACAGCCCACGCAAATGATGGTTTGTCAACTGAAAGTGAATTCTAAGGAAACTAATGACTGTTTTCATTCGTAATGAAAGAACAGGATGACAGGTTCCAGCATTTATAAATATTCTACAAGAATAGAATCAACCTCTTTTGCTCCCAAAAGTTTAACTCACCCCCCTCTCTGTGCCTAACCCTCATCTCAAAGCTTAAAAGCAAAGCATGTGTCTCTTTCTGTCCCATGTTGGAATGTATTTGTATGTCACTGCCCATAACAACCGTCCTAGCTGGTTATGAGTAGATAGTGATGACCTCTCGCCCTCCTCCTCTCACCAACATGACTCTTTCCAAACCCTCGGTTAGCACCTCCAGAAACTCCATATCTGAGCAGTAGATTAAGGAGTTAACAACAAAAGCATATAGGATTTTCACACCCCTGGTTATTACTGAGGCCTCATGTGTTGTTGTTGTTGATAGGAATGGCAAAGGATACAGTTTTCGTCTCCATCTGTATTGCGCGGTGGGCCTGGCATGTTGAGCAGCACTAATCGGGCATCGTGAGACCTGTTAACTATTACTTCATTAAGCTTCACAGCTGTATGCATGCGGCGCACATTGGACTGATCCCTAAAAAGCAGCAAGGGAGAGTTTTATTAGTGCTACAGTAAAACTGTTGAGATAATTAAAATCAGCACAAAAATAGTAAAAAGAACACAAAAAAAGTGTAATTAGTCATTATAAAATGTCCGGAGATGTTTGAAATAAACAAATGGCTCACGGTTTGAGGCTCATGAGTTCTCTGAAGTTCTCAGGAGCATTGTTTCGGTTTCGCCTTTCTGCCTCACACTTCTCTTTGGTCCAGGTCATATGGACTTTCTCTGGAGGAACCTCCATCACATCCTCCTCTTCGTCGGAGTACAGACTCCCCATACGCACCAGTGAGTGTCTGTCTTTAACCAGCTGGGCCTGTAGGTTCCACGAGAATGTTAAAAATATGAAACAAATTCTAGAAGAGGGATATATCTCTCTCTTTCAGTCCCAACATACCTCTCTTTGTCTTTCTGCACTGGATAGCCTCATTTGCCGTAACATCTGGGACCTCTGCTCCATCATTAGTGTTCTTTCGTAAGTGTAAGCTGAGATGTCACTGTCGTGCTGAAATCCCATTTAAGAAACATGAGTTGGTAATGCAGATGAAACATAATGTTTATATTTTTCCATGTTTTTTAGTGTGGAAGATGTGAAAACTGCATAAACTGCATCAAACAATGACAGACTCAAGGTTCCCACAAAATGTGTTTTCTGTAGCTGTTTTCAGATATATGGCTACAAGTTTGTTTTTTTCCTCTGTGGAATTGCATTTGCATGTTTAAGTCATTTTATTTTGTTTATGATCCATGTTTTTTCTTATCTTGCTGGAAGCAACCACTCTGTGTTAGTCTGAAACATATCTGCTTTGTTGCACCAAGGCGATCTAACGTCCTGTTTGGCGGCATCATAAAATGTATTTCATTGGACTATTTTCTACCAGTAATGAGTTACTGTGTGAGAGGAGCCCTCACCATCTCCACCACCTCCACCTCTGCCTCTATTCTCAGCTGGTACAGGAATGTGGCCAGGTCTTTCTTCATCTGGATGCTGTTGTCGTCCATCTGGGCCACAGTGAAGATGCGCATCTTGCATTTTCTCCACACCTAAAATGCAAAAGTCTTGTGATCTTTTTGGCGCATTATTGTGAAAGCTGGTTTTACGCGCTGAAATAATTTGCCAAAAAGCTGGCATTAAAACTCAATTTAAGATCAGAATTTGAAAGATGCTTATCACCTGTACTGTATGTCACACACACAAAATGAAGATGGTTTGTGAGCATTGAAAAAAATCTCCCCATAAAACTACAGTTAAATAGTTAACTAAGCGAATAGGAAGTGTTGTTCATTGACCTTGTGCTGTTTGAGCAGGAAAGGCAGCAGCATCAGCATTCCTCCGTCATGAACAATCCACCACACATCAATGTTCCCATCTGTGAAGCGTTCATGGTTGCTTGGATAAAATGATACATTTTTGGGGACCATCAGGGCCAGGTGGGCAGCTGTTGTGCAGCGGACTGTGTCTGGGGCAGAGAAGGCAACACACAGGCTGTGATATTTACATATGTCATTACCATTACCGCACATAGGGCAATACAGTCTCTGCAGAGTCTCTCCGCACACCACATTTTATCATGGAAGTGCTGAAATGCATCATAATTTAGTGTGGTAGATTAAATTAGGAAAATGAAAGGAATGTTATACTGACTGAAAACTGAACACCCATACTGTTGGAAAACTCTGCTCTACATAATTTCTAAAATGTTGTTTCTCTTTAGCTTTGGTGGAGAAGACTTTTTTGTCTACTAATTTATATATATATATGGGATGAAAAAAAATACTTTTTAATGACTTCAGAAAAATAAAAATACCCAAATCAGTGTTGGTTCTCATTATAACACTGCCAATAAGACCAAGCTAAAAACTCCACAAAATTGCTTACAGTGGATAAAAAAAAATAAAATAAAAAAAAGGCATTAACATGCTGAAGAAGGAGCATAGTGTTTTGCAGATTGGACTGCTATGCTGTGGGAATACTCTTACTGATAAAGGTTTTCCAGGCTCGAGGGTCTTCGCTCTGTCTCCAGCCATATGGCCAACCCATCACCACGGTGTTGTGTTTCATCCCACCCAGACCACAGGACTGGATCAGGTGG